ATAAACAACTGACCTTTGAATAAGCAGATGAAGAACCTTGTGAGTTGTTTGACTACCAGAATAGGTAAGGACAAATGTCAGCAGAACCAGTCCCTATGATTAATGACTAATTGTAGTACAGGCAAAAGCATCAAAGTGCAAGGTAGATTCCATGTAACACTTAGCAGGGAAACTGTAACACAGAGTAGGAAATCAAGTTAGGAGAATAGAGTATGGTGAAAATTGGGGTGAGGAATTTAAAAGATCTGCTTCTTCAGAACCTCTTGATAGGGAGCTGCCTTCTCACTGTTATACTTGAATGGGGAGAGCAGCAGGGAGAAATAAAATTAATTGGTTAGATAGGATTATCATTTTGGGATAACTGTGGAAGTGATGGCCAATCCCTAATTGTTGCTATATAAACCCTTGCTGCTTTGTGTCCCCTGCACAATGGTTTTAGTTGATCCCTCTATCTTAAAAATTAATATATAAAACCCCAACCTTTTTATGAAAAGTAACTCCAAATCTTTTTAGTGCTGTCTATACATTATAAAGCAATTGTCAAAAAAATTGTCTAACTTAATTGCATTTCTTCACTGATCACCTTTTATACTATCAAGACACCAAGGTATACTGAATTTTTTAAAATTAATTTCTTGGATGTGGGCATTGCTGGCTGGCCAGCATTTTTTGCTTGTCTGTAACTGCTCTTGAGAAGGTGGTAGTGAACTGCCTCCTTGAACCACTGCAGTCCACCTGCTGTGGGTTGACCCACAATGCCTTTAGGGAGGGAATTCCAGAATTTTGACCCAGTGACAGAGAAGGAACAGCGATATATTTCCAAGTCAGGATGGTATGTGGCTTGGAGGGGAACTTGAAGGTGGTGGTGTTCCCATATATCTGCTGTCTTGTCATTCTAGATTGAAGTGTTCATGGGTTTGGAAGGTGCTGTCTGAGGATCTTTGATGAATTTCTGCAGTGCACCTTGTAGATAGTGCACACTGCTGTTACTGAGCATCAGTGGTGGAGGGTGTGGTTGCTTGTGGATGCAGTGTCAATCAAGTGGGCTGCTTTGTTCTGGATGGTATCAAGCTTCGAGTGTTGTTGAGGCTGTACTCATCCAGGCAAGTGGACAGTATTCTATCACACTCTTTACTTGTGCCTTGTAAATGGCAGACAGGCTTTGAGGAGTCAGGACATGAGTTACTCGCTGCAGTGTTCCACGCCTCTGACCTAGTCTTGTAGCCACTGTGTTTATGATGTGAGTCCAGTTTAGTTTCTGGCCAATGATAACCTCCAGGATGTTGATATTGGGAGATTCAGTGATGATAACACTATTGAATGTCAAGGGATGGTGGTTAGATTGTCTCTTATTAGTGATGGTCATAGCCTGACATTTGTGTGATGCGAATGTTACTTGCCACTCAACAGCCCAAGCCTGGATATTGCATTTGAACATGGATTGCATAAGTGTCTGACAAGTCACAAATGGTGCTGAACATGATTGGCACAGAAATTGCTCCCAAGTAAAATCATGAAACAAATGTTTTGAATGAGACATTAAAATAGTGTTAAATTAAATGACTTTCTGATGCAAGCCTCCTTCCTATTCAAATGCAATGCATATAATTTACTAAAATGAATTTTAATTCAATTTAAATTCTATGAACTGCTATTTTCATTTATGAGGTTGTGAGCAGAAAAGTCTTGCACTCTGTATATTTTCTGTTCTCACTGCAGTTCCACATTCAGCCATCAGGAGATCCCTCTCCCTCCTACCTGTTGGAGGTAAATTTATCTGCCCCTACAAAGTCGGGAATCTGGTAACCATGCTGAAAGCCACCTTAACCCCATTTGAGTTCAAGTGTCATTTAAGGCAAAAATTCAAACTGAGCTGTGACACTGAAGCTGATAAACTGTCTTTGAATACTGAAGATCTGTAAAAAGGTCATTAAGACCTACTGCTCAAGAGGTTCTAGGACATTTGAATATAATATTCCTTATGACGTTTATGAGAATTTGATAACAGCTTTCACTTTTCAGATATGAATGGGCTTTGTTTGTACCAATGAAGCAAAACTGAAATTCCAGTATATTTTCATGAATGAGTTCAGACTCAAATAAGCTGCTCTGAATAAAATTGTGAGTGCTGAATCATATATATAAAACATACCCTAGATTCTCCAATTGAATACAGAAATGTAGCTTGCAAGGTAGTAATCTTCTGCATGACAGTGGTGTGACTATCTCAGCTGTGTTGCAAGGGAAAAGCATAAACAGGGGGATCATGTTTCTTTCACTGCAAAAATATAGTGTTTCTCCTGGCCACTTTCTCCCCTTTCAGACCAGCTCTGGCAACAGGCCAGGAGACAGATGATTATCTCCTTCTCTGACTGCGCATAGTTCATGATGCCCTGAAACCTATAGAAATATTTGTGAAAGTTACTGGGCACACAAGATAGAACGAGAGCTTTTGAAAATCACAGGCATATTATCCAATTGTGTTTTTTCTGTGTGTGTGAATATTTTAAGCTTTTCCATCCCATTTTATTGCAATAACACAGCCAAAGTGGAAATCTGACAAACAGAATGTGGTTTAGAATGGCACCAGGGGCTGAAACTTCCTGGCAACATCTACATTGTCAACAGAAGTTAAAAATGCATCTTGCTTTCCAGTAAGTGCACTTGACTGACAAACTTGCATTTGTAACTGTTTCTTTCTCTTTTAGATTTCCATTATCTGCTGACTTTGTGTTTTTCTTTCAATTTGGTTTATGTTAAAGCTGTGATGGAGACGAGGTGGAGGATGAAGACATCAATAAATTTGAGGGTGGAGGCAGGTATGTGATAAAAAATATATGTTAGAAACCAGGAACAATGTCTAATTGAAATAATATTTTAGCCACACAAACAAAGCTTGGTAGCTGTGAAATTTGATAAGAGAATCAAGCAAGGAGTACATGATAACACAGTGTGGAGCTGACTCCAGCATCGGCAGTTCTTACTATCTCTGAAGGAGTACATGATGCCTGATTAACTCGTAAACATTGTTTTTGATGGAGGCAGCAAGCACATTTCGAGATGCATGGTTCTTTGAATGCCTACAGCACTAAACATGCTGCTAAGTGGCCTTGTACCCGTGCAGGGTCATAAAGTCATTTCAGGCTGCCCTCCCCCTCCCAGTCCAATATTAAATTGCTGTACTTAAAGTCTACAATTATTATGGGGGATGTGTCTCTCAGCAGGTCTAGAACTGGTTGCAAAGGACAGCGTGAGCAAAAATAACATTGAATGATGGTACAGATTGCTGCAAGATTGTCCAACACTGTACTTGGCACTCATTTAGGAATAGAGACGACCTCTACCGATAGAAGACAAGGTCACCCTTCATATTCTCAGAAGGCCGTTGGATCAGATAGCTTTCCCAGTCAATATCCAAACTGTAGCCCCAATGCCAGAAGGAATTCATTAGCTCACAAGTGGTCAAGGTCACTGGTGTATCTTCAAACATCACATTCCACCAACTGCCTTATATATTGCCCAATTCACCACACTGCTCTCACTTAGGTACTACCAATCACAATCAAAGAGAACTCAGACCTAACATTCACTCACTTCATTACTTGCACACACATTTCATACTGATGCAAGCCCCACACCCACATCACATCTTACACACACAGTTAGCTATTCAATCATGCTTGACACATTATCCAAACACATTGCATCATACTCACTAGCATATGTAAGCTTTCTCTTAGATGGCTCAGAAATGGAGAAGATAACCAGCAAGAGACATGTACAGCTTCACATCCCTACCTTCATGGAGGAGTCAGTTTCACCATCATTGGCATGGCCTTTGCTTAGGCAGTGGCCAATTGCAGGCTGAAGCTACGAAGCCCTCTCCTTCTCACATCTCACTTCACCCTCATTCAACAACACTTCTTATTTGAAAACTGTGATAGCATGAAGTGTGCAACTCTCATTTCTCCTTTTCACCCCTCTCCTCAATACAATCTCCTTTTTAGATACCCAAGAACTATAACTTAGTTAAACACTGGTGGAGGAAAAGGAGGTAGAAGAGCAGAAAGACACTGATAAAGAGAAACACTGGCACCCACTCTCATACTCTCAGCCAGCAGCTCAGTTACTGACATTGTGAGCACTGAACAATGAGATGCCAAGCAGAAGTAGCCTGCACCCAGGGCAGGAGACAACAGATGCCAGGTCACCGGAAGGCAAGATCATAAACAGATCATGCTGCAGAGAACAGATAAGCACTTTGACATGACAGCCAACATTAGAAGGCCTGGTATACATGAGTAAATGCTTGGTGTACTGCCAGGCCTACAGTGCGAAGGAGGGTCAGCACCTACTTTACACAGGGCTTGGCACAGAGCTGGGGCCAACTCTGCCAAGGTGGGAAGTTGGCCCAAGTCCACAAGAACCCACCCATGATGCAGTTGCTGATGGCCAGAGTTGCAAGTTCCATTGCAGCACAGGCAGTGTATGGGTGCTGCAGTGGAAACTCAGACTGAAGTCATGCATGTTTAACTTACTGTCAAGAAAGTTCAGACTTTTGCCATCATATCTGTAGATGGCACTGTTCAAAGGAGCTTGAAGATCCTTGACAGTCTCGCCATCTGTCTTCCAACATCTTTTTAGGACCACCAAGAATCTGATCCAACCAGATTGGCAGTGCGTTCATAGAACATGAGACTTTGTCGTCCCACCCCTGCCACTTTGCCAGTGCTCTTGCTGTACCTGTCAATCAGCCCAAATGGTTGTCACCCATGCTAAATGCTGCAGTTTGCAGCCATGCCGTCTAAGGATACAGATGCTCACTGTTATCTTTCATGGGCACGAGAAATTACCCAACTGAAAGTCAGCAGCCTTTCACAAGCCATGCTGCAGGCACTGGTGAGCACTGCATTGGAGTACCAGGCCAAGCAAAGGCATAGACCAAAAGAATGCATAAGGAATTAAAAAACTATCTTTACTCAAAATCCTGGAACTCCCTTCCTACTGAATATCCTTTATTGACACATGCATTCAATACAAAATACAGTGAAAAATATGTACCATTGCTTGTACATAAGCACCATTCACAGAATAGGTGCATTTACACACAGTGGTTTAAGAAGGCTGCTTTCAAGGCTAATTAGGGAAGGGTAACAAATACTGGCCTAACCAGACACACCCATATTCAATGAGAAAAGGAAGAAAAAAATTTGTTTGGTCATACAAAACTTAAAGTATTGCTGATAAAGTAATATTTAGATTTTTTTTCATCTTGCGCTCATCAGTTCAATTCGCAAAGATCACTAAAGTAATAGGAAAACAACAGTTATACTGTATGAAATACAGTGCTCAATAATAAAAGCAAATACTCTGATTGTTGGAAATCTGAAATAATACCAGCAAATGTTGGAGGAACTTTGCAGGGCGAGCTGCATTTGTGGAGAGGGAAACACAGTTAACATTTCTTGTCCAAAGGTTCTATTTGGAACTGATTGCCAATTAATCACCACTGATTGCAGTGATCAATCAGACTCTGGCTGGTCGAGGTGCTGCCATGGCGAATGCACCAACTGGATGATGTCTGTCAGTTAACTGCCAAGCTTTGTTTAAACTTAAAGGATTATCTTCAGCAGTATTTGTATTGGTTATAAAAAAAATTGGTTCTGTCCAAATCAGCTGTTCTGAGGGTCACTGGACCTGAAATGCTAACTCTGATTTCTCTCCAGACCTGCTAAGCCTTTGCAGCAATTTCTGTTTTTGTTTCTGATTTCCAGCATCTGCAGTTCTTTTGGTTTTAGTTTTGTATTAGTTATGTTTCTATTCTGTGTCCTGAAACACAAAATTACACGTTGACTTTTATGGGGAAAAGGGAGTAGTTACTTATGTTTCAGAAAGATTTCTATCAGGGGCACAACTGTGATTGAGTGAGGAAGAAATAGTAATCCAAAATCGGAGAGGGGAGGGCAGATATATGTCTGAAGAGGATTGACTTAACAACTGTACTCTTATGAGGAAGGGAGGACACGTTAAATTAACACGCACATGGAGTACAACCCATTCAAATACTGCTGAATATAATCCTTCAGAGCAATTGACTGTCAAATCTCAGGTCATAAATTCCACGGTAGTTGTTTGTCGGATATTTTGTGTTATTATTAATCAGAAGCAAGATTTTCCTTGATCCTCACTCAAAAGGACGAAGGGGATGAGCTCTACACACACCGAGCTGGAAGCAGTGACAGAATCAGCAGTCAGTGGGGCTGACGGATGCCGAAATGCCCACAGGAGGCGCACAACGCGCTTGCGTATTTGTCGGGAGGTTTGTCCCTGCCGCGGGCCTGTCGGAGCTGCCCGCTCACTCGCAGTGATGCTGAGGAGAGGCTGAAGGGCCGCCGCCTTGGCGGCCGCAGGGCGGAAGGAAGAAACCGTTTAAAGTAAAGCACACACACCGATTCACTCGGCTGGGCTTTAACCGCGCCTCCTTAACCATGGCCGAGATCCCGAAGACGTTACGGTGCTTTCGGGAGGAGCACTCTGGGGAAAAACTGAAGGACGACAATGTGTTGACGGTAACTTCAGAAGAGCAGGTGAGCGAGAACGGGCGGTTGGTGCGGCGTGGTGAGGGCAGGAAGGCCGGTTTCCGACCCCGTTGCATTCTGGGCGTTGTAGTCCCGGCGCCCCGCACCTGAAGCCCGCTGACTGGGGGAAAGAACTACAATTCCCGTAATCCGTATCTCCGGCTCGTCCTACACCGTCCCCCCCCCCCCGCCAAGACCATCACTAACCGGTGAAGTGCAACAGTTCATTTCTGTCCCTCTCTGCATACAACCTAATAATTTCCAATTCGCTATTGCGATACTATTTGGACAAGTTCTCCACTCTGTGCGTGGTTTTTTTTTGTCCCGTTGCCTGCTGGAATCTGTTTAATTCGATATCAGTAACATGGGCTTTCTGTCTGGTTTCTATAACAACTTGAATTTGTTAGAGCGTTTTGCACGTTGGTGAAATGATGCTCTGCATTTGGTGGTAGGAGGGGGAGAACCGATAAAGTTCATTCTCTGTGCGAGATTATTTTGCTTTGAAAGAGTGGTGGTGATGGTGGAGGAGTGTAAGTGGAGTCGTTGAAAGATGGAGCGGCACTCGGACTAAGAAATTTGAGGGGAAGGGTGTGGACGCGAGAAACAAAGGTGGAGCAGAAAGAGAGACTGGAGGGGAATTGTGCGTTAGCTCTAGTTTATGGACCTTGGCTTAAAAAAAGAGAGGCTCGTTATTGAGAAATCTTTTCGCCCCACTCAACTCTTCTTGTTATTGTTTGTTTAGATTTTTCAATGTTAGAAGTGTAGGTTATTGATCTAGAACTATTGGACAGTCAATAAATGCAGTGCATCTCTATTTAACCACACGTGCTCGGACCTCTTGGGCTACTTTGTCGTCATTTGATCTACCGCTTGTTCTAGCCTTTAGACCCTTTGTCATAGCACAGACTGTGGTGTTCTGTCACTTTTTAACTTGTTTGAATTATCTGTCCAAAGATACGTAGGTTAGGTGGATTAGCCATGGGAAATGCCGTGTGGAAGGGATAGGGTAAGGGGTAGGCATTGGAGAGTCGGTGTGACTTGATGGGCTGAACGGCCTGTTTCCACCCTGTAGGAATTCTCTGATTCTATGAACTCATCTGACATCTACCTCCTGATTCCTTAACTATATTTCTACAGACTGTTGGCATACATACAAAGTACAAGTTGTAAGCTGTTTGGCCCTTTAACCTGCTTATGGTTGATCTGGTTGAGGCCTCAATTTCACATTTCCATCTACCCAAATACCATTTTACTCCCTTGTTGTTCAATAATCTATCTCTACCTTAAAAATATTCAATGACCCTGTTTCCGGCACTCCCTCAAAATTCCAACGACTAATAACCCTCAGAAAAAAAGGTTCCCCATTTAAAATGGAAATGAGAAATCTTATTTCTAAACTACCCTGTACTTTTTCCCAGCAAAGAAAACATTCTTTTAGCATTCATCATATAACTTCTCTTCTGGATCTTGTATGGTTCAAAACCTAATTTCATGGGGAACATAGTGCCCTTTAACATTGTAAAACGTCCCAAGGTGCTTCAAGGGACCATTGGAAAAAAGAATGACACTGATGGTATAGAGATTTTAGGTTAGATGACTGAAACCTTGGTCAAAGGGATAGGTTTTAGGCAGTGTCTGAATGGTAAGGTGAGTTTGAGGTCATATTACAGAGCTTGGGGGCTAGACAAGTGAAGGTGCAGCCAATGGTACACCAATTAAAATTGGTGGTTCTCAATAGACCAGATTAGAGGAGTACGGACTTTTCTGAAAGACGGGGTTCGTGGAGAAGATGACTGTTTGGTAGGAGGTGAGGCTGTGAAGAAATTTAAACCAAGGGTGGTGGTGATAACAAGTTAGAGATAGGAGCAATTCTGTTCAGAGAGCATAGGCATCATGGTTGAGTGGGGCTTGGTGTGAGTTAAGACTGAAGTCTTGTGATATTAATGAGGGTCATTTCATATTGTGGCAGGGCCAATTGGGTTAATTAAAACATAGAACTCTAGGAAAGGTGGCACAGATTTGGCAGCAGAATTTTGGGTGAGCTCCCTTTTTAACAGAAAGTGAGTGATCAAGGAGTGATATGTCATAGTTATGTCTAGAGGTAATGAAGGCATGAATGAGGGTTTCGTAGCAGATGAGCTAAGGCCAGGGTGAAGTTATGGAGGTGGTAACCATCTGTTCATCGAGGTAATGCTAGTGTGAATATCAGGTGAAAGGATCAAACTTGTTGTGATACACTCCCTAATATGAATATCTTACAAACAGTTGCATATGTCCATACAAAGGAAGGCTAATGCATGAAGAATGTCCTACTTAGTGAGTATTGACCCCTTTAGAAGCAACAATGATCTAATTTTCAGAAAATCAAGAAAGCTAATGTGTGAACTTGAGGGTTGGTGGAGGCGTAGAAATAATACCATTAGTAAGTGTCGTTTTTGCAATGCTTTTCTTCCCTTTAAAAATGTGTATTTTGATTTTCTTACAAAATATGTAAAAGTACATACAAAAACAGAGGTTTCTGGAAAAGCTCTGCAGATCTGGCAGCATCTGTGAAGAAGAATCAGAGTTAATGTTTCGGGTCCGTTGACCCTCCCTCGGAATTCGAGGGTCACCGGACCCGAAACATTAATTGATTTTTCTTCACAGACGCTGCCAGATCTGCTGAGCTTTTCGAGAAACCTCTGTTTTTGTTCCTGACTTACAGCATCTGCAGTTCTTTCGGTTTTTGTTTAGTATTTAAAAGTAGATATTTAGGAAGATATTGCTCGTGTTGTTTTTTGAGTTTACTTCTGGTTAATCAGGAGAATGAAGAGATGTGTTGAGCATTGTAGATTGCGGCATCTAAATTGGCCTTTTAATCTTTTTGAAAATTAAGCCTCCTAAATGTATATAGTTGCCAATAAATTCTGTAGGGAATTCAGGAGAAACTTTACCCGAAGTGTGGTACGATAACACACAATGAAAAATCAAATCTAGGTAAGCACTTGAGCGTGAAAGGAATAAGAGAAGGTGCTGATCAGGTTGGGTGAAGAGGAATGAAATGTGGTCCTTAGCATTAATGCAGGCAAGAATCAGTTGGAGCAAGTGGCTTGTTTTTGTGTTGTAAATTCTAAGAAACAGAGATGGTAATATACATGCAACTTTTTTGCTACACTTTGTTCTTTGTCCTAAATCCTGTTTTTGGTGTCTAATTGGAAAATCATTTACCCATTAGCCATCTGGTAGAAGTCAAGGTGAGGTCTTTACTTAATTGTGGAATAAAGTATTTGTGCACTGACTATACTTGACGTTCCAGCAAAAGCTTTGTCCCAAGGTTGCCGGATTAGCTAGATGTACAACCTGTACTAATGATAATGAAACGGTCAGCATTCGCTATCATCACTTCCCTGAAACTGGCAATAACTTTTGAAGTTGTCCCATGTGAAGTTAAAAACGGAAAGGCAGAAATTGATGTTGATGATTCTTTGCTTATCCATAGGATGCACTGTTGAAGTTCTTTGACTGAACTGGTGAGAACTTCTGTATTGCACTGTTAAATAGTTATGCCTTGTTCATGTGATGTAACTGGGCTTTTGCATCATAATTATTTCTGAATATTGTGAAATAAATGAGGTTTAATAAGCAATCATTCTTAAACATTGTTTTATGATGTTTCCTGTGCTCAAGTGTAAGTCCCAGTCTTTTGGTGTTTTATATAATTTCTAAAATGTTAAGAATAATCAATGTATCATACTTTCGGCATAGCTAGGTACTTCACTGTTATTGTCCACTAACCATGTTGGATGATATTATTGCTGGAAACCCCCTTGACTTGAAGTTAAGTCGGGAAGGTGAAACCCAAGATAGAGAGATTGCTAAACCGTTGCAGGTGACTTGCTTTGAGATCCATGACGAGCTCCTTCTGTTGCCACTCCACGCTAAGTATGATTCAAGGTTTTAAATGTGGACGACTTTTGAATAAAATTAAATCAAATAAAAACAAAATTGACAAGAAATGGTCGTTTGCATTCTGGTTTTGTTATATAATTATCCAAAATGCATCATGATTTAAGTTGCCACGTTCTTCCATTATCTTCTAACTGAATACCAACAGTTCATTAGGCTCATGATTGCACAATGCTTATTATGCATTAATTTTTAATAAACTTGGCATTGCTTTGAAAGCATCGTTGATGTATACATATTTTTCATTACTTAGATTGAAATCTGAACTGTAATTTTGACAGACACATTTCATTCATTAATACTTCACTTAATGACAGATGTTCAGTCGTGCAAATATCTCAGAAAAGGAATGATGGATATGTAACTATCCTTTCGTAAAATCAACTGTCGTAATTTATTTTGAAAGAATTAAGCGTGAACAGTGAAGTACAGTTGTGCTTTCAGATATGAGTTTAATTGGCAGAAAGTTTGCAATTAATTTATACATTTGGGCTGTTGAGCCAAAATGGTACTTTAAAAAGATACAAAAAGAGTGGTTTACTTGCGCCTGGCAAATTTTGAGCAATTGGGTTGCTTCGCTGTGAAATTACTTTGGCACTTGGCATAAACTGGTGTCAGTTCATGGCTATAGAAGCTAATCTGAGGAAATTATTGAAGTCCAGTGGATTGCAAATATTATGAAGATTGAAGCCATTGTTTTCTCTCCCTAGTCGTAGAATCCAACCCAACCCCTGGCAACTATATAAGATTGTACCAGACTCTTGCAACCTTGATGTCACATTAACCCAAAAACAAGTTTCTGACTGTATATCTGTGATAAGACTAAAATTATCTCATTCACTGTCTTAACGTTGCTTTTGACTGTGCCCTCACCTTATCAAGTCTGCTGCTGAAAGCCTCATTCTGTTATCCCTAGGCTTGAAATATTTGAATACACTCCTGGCTGACCTCTTAATCTTCAGTACCTGAATAATTCTAAGGTCATCCAAAACATGACTGCCTGTGTATGAACTTTCACCAAGTCCCATTCACCCATCAAAGCCCATTCACCAAATACTTGCTGA